TGTGAACGCGATCTGTACTTAGTTCATGAGAACTAAAGAGTTCTCATGAACTAAGTTCTGATTAACCTTTGTGGGAAAAGTACTGCGGTGTGAAAGCGCCTATTGTTACTATCTGAGTCTTTTTCTATTGATGTTATGTCCCAGAGATGCGTGTGAGGTTCACTAACCAGGTTGCTGATGCCACCTTTGACATGTGAGCCATTTACGTTGTATGGTCTTTTAATTAGTTTGTCTATATTCTCTATGCCCCTCTTGTCTTTTAACCTTTGTCCTTCCAGGGAAAATGTGTTTGCTAAACACTCTTTATTGCTCTTTATCGCCTGGTAACCATAAATGAACACAAATGGATGCGGAGAGTTTGCTCCTGGACACTGAGTGGGTGGATATTACTATGTTTATCTATACACCAAATTAAATTGTGAACTCTACAATCTAAATGGTAAAATATACTGTTTTCAGCCTATGAAATATGGAGATGTCTTGCTTTTCTCGGTTGTATATCATTTAAAACAATCACCTTGCACTTTGGAAGGCAAGGCAAGTTTATTTATATAGCACCTTTCAACACAAGGCAATTCAAGGTGCTTTACAAAAATGAAAGACATTCAGACAAAGGCATTTAAAAACAGTAAAAGATAATAAAAGAAACATTAAAAGAAAAAATACATGAATAAAAAGTTACAGTGCAGTTTAAGATATGAATAGTTCACACAGAAGTTCCACTTTACTGATGAACACAACGGCTCAGTTTCAATTAAAAGCAGCGACAAAAATAAAAGTCTTCAGCCTGGATTTAAAAGTAGTCAGAGTTGCAGCGGACCTGCAGGTTTCTGGGAGTTTGTTCCAGATATTTGGAGCATAATAACTGAATGATGCTTTACCATGTTTAGTTCTGACTCTGGGGACAGAAAGCTGACCAGTCCCTGAAGACCTGAGAGATCTGGATGGTTCATAATTTAGCAGAAGATCAGAAATGTATTTTGGGCCTAAACCATTCAGTGCTTTATAAACCAGCAGCAGTATTTTGAAATATATTCTTTGACACACAGGAAGCCAGTGTAAAGACTTCAGAACAGGAGTGATGTGATCCACTTTCTTAGTGTTAGTGAGGACTCGAGCAGCAGCGTTCTGAATCAGCTGCAGCTTCCTAATAGATTTTTTAGTGAGACCTGTGAAGACACCATTGCAGTAGTCGAGTCTACTGAAGATAAAAGCATGGACAAGTTTTTCCAAATCCTGCTGTGACATTAGTCTTTTAATCCTAGATATGTTCTTTAGGTGATAGTAGGCTGATTTAGTAACTGTTTTAATGTGTCTGTTGAAACTCAGGTCAGAGTCCATGACTACACCTAGATTTCTGGCTTTATCTGTTGTTTTGAACATTGCACACTGAAGCTCAGTGCTAACTTTTATACGTTCTGCCTTGGCTCCAAAGACCATTACCTCAGTTTTGACTTTGTTTAATTGGAGAAAGTTCTGACACATCCAGTCATTGATTTGTTCAATGCACTTACTCAGTGTTTGAATTGGAGCATAGTCTCCTGGTGAAATTGTTACGTAAATTTGTGTGTCATCCGCATAGCTATGGTAACTTATTTGGTTGTTCTTCATTATCTGAGCCAGTGGTAGCATGTAGATGTTAAAGAGAAGAGGCCCCAAGATGGAGCCTTGAGGTACCCCACATGTCATATTTGTCAACTCAGATGTGTATTTACCTATAGAAACAAAGTTGTTTCTGTCCTTTAAGTAGGATTCAAACCAATTTAGAACTGTTTCCGAAAGTCCCACCCAGTTTTCTAGTCGGTCTAGTAATATGCTGTGGTCAACAGTGTCAAACGCAGCACTGAGATCTAATAATACTAACACTGAAGTTCTGCCACTGTCTGTGTTTAAGTGGATGTCATTGAAGACCTTTACAAGAGCAGTCTCAGTGCTGGAACACATCGAAACAGTTATTTAAATGCAAGAAATTACTCAACTGTTGAAAGACTACTTTTTCAATGATTTTACCTAGAAATGGCAGGTTTGATATGGGCCTGTAATTGTTCATTACTGAAGCATCTAGATTATTCTTTTTTAAGAGCGGTTTAATGACTGCAGTTTTCAGGGCCTGTGGAAAAACACCTGAGTGAAGAGACTTGTTTACTATGTGAAGTAGATCTGAGGCCATGCAACGAAAAACATCTTTGAAAAATCCTGTTGGAATAATATCAAGGCAGCAAGAGGAGGATTTCAGAAGTTGTATAATGTCCTCCAGGTTTTATCATTAATCTGATGGAATTGTGTCATGGTGTTTGAATTGATATTAGGTGGACACAGAGACAAAACATTTGCTGTTCCTGATGCAGAGGCACTGACTGCTTGTGAAGAAGGAGGCAAATTCATTGCACGCCCTGGTGGATAGAAATTCAGAGGCTACTGACACTGGGGGGTTAGTTAGTCTGTCGACGGTAGCGAACAAGGCACATGCGTTGTTTTTGGCAATGATATCAGAGAAGAAAGACTGTCGGGCAAATTTCAATTCCAAATTATAAAGGCGAAGTCGCTCTTGGCGAAGTGCACCTGGAGATTTGTTTTTCGCCACCTGCGTTCAGCTTTTCGACACTCTTTTTTTCTCTGTTCTCACGGTCATGGCATTTCTCCATGGAGATATTTTCTTCCCAGACACTTCCTTTACCCTAGTTGGAGCAATGGCATCTATAACATTTTTAATTTTTGAATTAAAATGATCTACTAGCTCATTTACTGAGATGTTATCAGGGGCAAGTTCTGAGTAAACATTTCCCTAGTATTTTCAGTTAAATATCGCTTTGTGGTTACCTCTTTTTGAACATTTTTGTGAACAGAAATAGAGCTCTCAAAGAAAACACAGGAATGATCAGAGAGTGCAACATCAGTCATCACAACCTCAGAGATATTCAGACCCTTTGAGATAATTAAGTCCAGGGTGTGCCCCTTATTGTGCGTGGGCTCCGTCACATGCTGAGTCAGTCCATAGCTATCAAGAACACAAAACAGTTATTTTGCCCCTCTGTCCTGGGGGTTGTCAACATGGATGTTAAAATCACCAACAATGACTAGACGGTCAAAGTCAATACACACTATAGACAGCAGTTCAGTAAAGTCATCAAAAAAGCTTGCACAGTATTTGGGTGGTCTATAGATATTTAGGAACAGAGCTCGAGAGGAGCATTTCAGCTGAAGGGCCACATATTCAAAAGAAGCAAAGTTCCCATAAAATGTCTTTCTGCATTGAAGGGAATCATTGAACAGAATAGCAACTCCACCCCCTTTCTTATGCATTCTTTCCTGACTCATAAAACTAAAGTTGGGAGGGGTTGATTCGATAAGAACAGCTGCACTGTTATTTTGTTCAATCCAAGTTTCCGCTAAAAACATAAAATCGAGATTGTGCTCAGTGATAAAATCATTGATTAAAAATGTTTTACCTGCCAAAGACCTGACATTTAATAAAGCTAGTTTAAGTTTGTTGAACACACTATCAGTCAGTTTTTTGTGACGAGCTGTGGTTGACATGGAATCACTGCTAAATTAGATAAACTCACACAAACGTTTGAGTGCTTCCTGTATCTAAGCTGATTCACCGCTCTTAATCTATTACCTATCAACACAGATATCGGCAAAGCTACTGGCAGGCAGGGCCCCGGCTTGTCCTGGAAAGAGTTGAGTGCCATACGCCCTTGAGCCTGGACCCAGCACATATCAGTCAGTGTTTGCGTTTTTTACACACACATCCTTATCAGGTTTCGGAGACAGCAGTCTTGAAGGGGGGGAGGACGTTTTGGTCCGGATGATTGTGGTAGGCATGGTGACGGGGGTGTTGGTGCGCGTTCAGGGTTTGGTTATTGAACTCCAGGAAGGAATCGATGCCAACCCTCTGTATCTCCTTCATGTGTTCAGCGATCTCCAGGAGGGTGGGCGAGGGTGAAAGGGTGAATGGAGAGTAGAGAGAGCTGTGGGGTGAAGGAAGAGTATCCTCAGAGGTGATAGCTGGGGTGAAGGGCGGTGGAGACTTCTCCATTCCATAATGAAGACATTCCTCAGGCGGGTGCATGATAGATTTTCAAGGTTTTCTGAGCGATGTGTTGTGTATTTCTCTTGTTTTGATTATCTTGTTGCTTGTCCTTGGCAGAGGGAACAGATTGATGACGTACGCAGTTGAATATGTTAGAGATAAACAATTTCACTCCTGACTTGTTGAGGCAAACTCCATTTGCCTTAAAAAGATGTCTGCGGTCCCAGAAAAAGTTAAAGTTGTCAATAAAATGGACAGAATGGTCAGTACAGGCAGTTGAAAGCCAGGTGTTCAGTGCAAACAATCTGCTGAATCTTGGAAGACCAAAATTGATATTTTTTTTAATTGTTCTCTTTTTTTATCAGCCTGATTCATCAATAATTAGTGTTGTTTTTAAGCATTGTTGGATGTAGCTGTACATAAATCCCTCTGTTGTTGCCTTCTGCCCATCATACATATCCGATAATACTTTATTGGTCAGATCAAGTCTGAAATTTGACTCGCAGCAGCTCCATGTGTAACATCAACATAGACAAATATCAAGACACAATACATGAAAAACAAACATTTAACATAACAGCACAATCAGTAACAGCACCCTTTAGCGTTTATTATTATGTATGTTTTCTGTGTCTCCTATTTTACACTCGACCTTCTCTTACTATGTTTATGTATGCACAATTATAGACCAAAGGAAATTGTGAAATCTACAATCTGATTGGCAAAAAATGCTGTTTTCAGCCTTTGAAATATGGAGATTTCTTGCTTTTCTCTGTTTTATATAATATAAAACTGATTTAAAGACATTACCATGTACTTTGGGAAACAAATCTTTATCAGCAGATTCATCATGTTTTTTTTAGTATTGTTGTATGTAGCTGTACTTTAATCCCTCTGTTGTTGCCTTCTGCACAGACATCTCATTTGAACCCTTACATATATGAATGTTTTCTGTGTCTCTCAGCAGCGGGAGAGGTTTCTGCGGCACAGTGACACCGGCCCCGTGGGGGAGTGGCCCTCTCCGGACTCCACCATCTCACCCTCTGGATCCACCAGGGAGGGCAGCAACAGGCCGAGAGCGTGGAGCGTCCGCACCTTCCAGGACCTCCTGCCTCCTCTGCCGCAGCTGCACAAGAAGTGGTGCAGCTGGAACTCCAGCAGCCCCTTCACCAAGCTGGTGGACAGCGTGAGTACAAAAAAACAATTTTCATATTACAACGGAGCTGCTCAGCATTAGATTCAGTTAATTACACCTACTTAATTTGTTTCTAAGGCTTCCCAGCTTTAATTTCTATAGTCGATTGGTCAATATGTTAATGCTTTTTCCGGCTGAATTACTTATTCCAAGTTACTTTTTGGGCCGATTAAAAACATGATTTACAGACTACTTGGTCTATTTCAAGACAAAGATAAGTAAAATTACATCGTATTTAAAAAGAAAAACCTGATCAGTGTGAGAATTATGATATCGAATTGACCCATCTTTAGTTTTTATCTATACACCCATGCCTTTTTATTCATGTTGAAATTCATCCATCTCCTACTTTCCCAGACTCCAACCGGTTTGGCAGCGGACGGCAGAGCGGACCACGGCAGGAGGATCTTCTCCGACGTTCACCTGGACTCTAAAGCCGACAGCAGCTCCATCTCTGACTCCACCCTGAGCAACGCCTCCTTCCCGCTGTCGCTGCCCACCCAGAGGCAGCGGCGCCTCAACTCCACCAGCAACCTGCGGCGCTCTCGCTTCACCGGGCCCTGTTTCGGCCTCCTCTCCGGGACACAAGAACCAACAAATCCCTCTGTTGTTGTGGTTCCTCCAACACAAGGTTCCCCGTCTGAACCCAGCTCTGCTTCCTCCACTCAGAGTCAGACAGAGGGCGTGAAGAGGCGCGATTTCCCAGGCGAGAACGACCACATCAGCGTTCAGGTGTTCGCCATCTCCGAGGAGGAGGACCGGCAGCCTCTGGTCTCAGCCGAGCACCTGAACCAGACCTCTGGATCTCTGAATGGGGTGGTGAAGGGGACTTATGAGGGGAAGGGGCCCTCCAGCCTCAGCCCTCAGAGGGTCAGAGCAGAATGGAGGCCGTGGGGGAGCCAGGCATCCGGAGAGGTCGCTCCACTATCTCCCAACTCGAGCAAAAGCAACGACAGCCCGCCGTCCTTCACTCAGTCCACAGTGCCGTGCAGTGTGAACAACCAGATGGGATGACTGGTAAAAAAGAGCAGGGACTCTGAACTCTGTTAGTGAAACATATATAACCTACTTCTTTATATTCCTGAAAAATCGACAAAATGATTATTACGTATACTGTAGCCTCCTGCCGGCAAATATAGTCATCTCACGCTTTCTATTTTTATAAGTTGTACAAAGATGGAATATTATGCTGCTTACTGTACCAAGGCAATGACTGCTGTCGTATTGTACGGTGGCCGACAGGTGCATAAATATTGCCATTAAGAGAAACGCTCTGCAGTTTCAGAAACGATGCAAATATTAAAACACAAATGTGCCAAAACACATGCAAATGAGGTTGATGTTCACCATCTTGACAACCCGTGCGCTGCGTTTACTAAAAGCGCTGCATAAACGAAACACTGCAAATATAAAACACAACGGAAACAGGGACACTGAAAAGTGACGCACACAGCTGGAGCATTTGTTATCCTGTCACTGTTGGCAGAGTTTCATAATTGTTAGTGTTTTGTCAGTATATTTGAAGTTAGCTACGTTAGCAAGCTAGCTTACAGCAGATCAGAATTAATCAAATGTTGTTCAAATAAGCCGATAAAACTCACATTTTAATTGAGTATACAGTGACAGTGAGCAGACTTTATAATCCTGAACGTCAATGAGCGCTCCGGTCCCAGCTGTGTGCGTCACTTTTTATTGTCCCCATTTCCGATGTGTTTAAGCTTCACTCAGCGTGTCGCTTTCAGTAAACCCTGCGCAGCATATTTTGTCAAGTTGGTGAAGATGTCGTTTACATATGTTATATGTTATATTTGCATCGTGTTCTGAAACTGCAGCGTGTTTCTATTATTGCGAATGTTTAATGTCATTGCACCTGTCGGTAATTATGTGTTCAAAAAAAGTATTTCCTGAGTGAGTTTACACCCAGATTTATTAACCGGTTTGATATTATTCAGTGAGTTATAAGACTCCAAACATTGCACTTTGTATTCAGTAGCTCATTCATTTAATTTGGTATCTTTAAGCGGTTATCATTTTTAGCCCAAGCTAACAAACGCTTCTACAATGACCTATTACCCTGCAGTGTTTGCATACATTAATATGAATGTTGCAACAGTGTACATACTGTATGTACTTTTAAGGCTTATACTGGATTTTAAAAGGGAAATCAGAATATAATAAAAGCATCTAGAGTACTAATATTCACTATGATGTAGTATAAAGAGAGAACTAGAGAGCACAATAGTATTTAAAATGAGTTATTAATTAATGTAAAGTTTTAATAAAGGCTATGTGTTGTGTCCTTGATCTGAAGATGTGTTTTTTTGTGATAATTCAGCACCTTAGTTAAGGATGTAAGAAGCTCAACGCTCAGCTTGTTTTCAGCAAAGGAGGAAATATAAATGCAAAGAAAGACATTTGCTTTTTAAATGTGACATTTCAGTAACATCATTTTCCAACAATACTCCACACACATTTTTTGAGATAATACTTTCTTTGAATGATTAGCATCTAAAGGGTTTGTTAAATGTTCAGGGTACAATATAAAAATGTCATAGGACGATATGTCATAAATGAATTACTGCCAGTGGTTTTACATCCTAGTCGGTTCATAATGTCAACAATTTAATATTTTTTCCTATTAGACATTTGGGTACTTTACAATAAGATACCCTTAGAAAGGGTTTACGAATAGTTTGTACTTCATTTATTAATTAGGTTGTGAACACTTTATAAATCATTAATAAGCTTTTATAAGACATGAGATAAACAGGGCAACTGTGACCGGTTGCTTGCCAAATAGTGAGCCCACATGTATCTGCACTGCTAAGCCTTATACTAGCTACCTAGCTTGCTTCGTCTTCTTCATCAGCCAGCATCCTTGGTATCTGGAGCTCACTGAGTTGATTCTGGCTAAGTAGCCAATATAAGGCTTAGTCATCTTGCCGAATAGTGAGCCTGTGTTGATGTATGGAAACTGTTAGAACCGGTTTATAAATGGTTCTTAATGATTAATAAAGTGTTTACAACCTAATTCATAACCTAGAATCCTTTACGAATCCGTCTTATTGTAAAGTGGTACCCACATTTGTGTGAAATCGTGGTGTTTAGCATTCTTGAGTCATGGTCAGAAAAACATGTTTTATGACCTTTGGCCACCAAAATGTAATCAAACCACCAAAGTCAAAATATAGTATGTCATAAAGTACGTGAAAATGTCCTAGTATAGTTTGTGAGAATGTATTATACCATAAAACATAACAGTCATACTACAAATTGCATTTAAATGTCATTATATAGGATGGCATTCAACTTCATAGTATATCAATAGTATAGTATGTCATAATGTAAAATAAAGTGTCATATATATATATTACACATACGCTTTATTATCGACCACAAATGGCTTTTTAATTAGTTGTGATGTTACAAAATCCTGCTCGTTCCTACCCGTCTTAAACTCAAAGAAACTTTGCCACTTTCAGCATATTAAAAAGGGAAATCAGCCTTTAAAGGTCACCGATTGTGCAAAATCCACTTCCTCATGTCTCTTCTACATCAACATGTGTCCCCTCTTCTTCATGTCTCTTCTACATCAACATGTGTCCCCTCTTCTTCATGTCTCTTCTACATCAACATGTGTCCCCTCTTCTTCATGTCTCTTCTACATCAACATGTGTCCCCTCTTCTTCATGTCTCTTCTACATCAACATGTGTCCCCTCTTCTTCATGTCTCTTCTGCATCAACATGTGTCCCCTCTTCTTCATGTCTCTTCTGCATCAACATGTGTCCCCTCTTCTTCATGTCTCTTCTGCAACAACATGTGTCCCCTCTTCTTCATGTCTCTTCTACATCAACATGTGTCCCCTCTTCTTCATGTCTCTTCTGCATCAACATGTGTCCCCTCTTCTTCATGTCTCTTCTACATCAACATGTGTCCCCTCTTCTTCGTGTCTCTTCTACATCAACATGTGTCTCCTCTTCTTCGTGTCTCTTCTACATCAACATGTGTCCCCTCTTCTTCGTGTCTCTTCTACATCAACATGTGTCTCCTCTTCTTCGTGTCTCTTCTACATCAACATGTGTCCCCTCTTCTTCGTGTCTCTTCTACATCAACATGTGTCCCCTCTTCTTCGTGTCTCTTCTTCATCAACATGTGTCCCCTCTTCTTCGTGTCTCTTCTATATCAACATGTGTCCCCTCTTCTTCATGTCTCTTCTACATCAACATGTGTCCCCTCTTCTTCATGTCTCTTCTACATCAACATGTGTCCCCTCTTCTTCATGTCTCTTCTACATCAACATGTGTCTCCTCTTCTTCATGTCTCTTCTATATCAACATGTGTCCCCTCTTCTTCATGTCTCTTCTTCATCAACATGTGTCCCCTCTTCTTCATGTCTCTTCTACATCAACATGTGTCCCCTCTTCTTCATGTCTCTTCTACATCAACATGTGTCCCCTCTTCTTCATGTCTCTTCTACATCAACATCTGTCCCCTCTTCTTCACGTCTCTTCTACATCAACATGTGTCCCCTCTTCTTCACGTCTCTTCTACATCAACATGTGTCCCCTCTTCTTCATGTCTCTTCTACATCAACATGTGTCCCCTCTTCTTCATGTCTCTTCTACATCAACATGTGTCCCCTCTTCTTCATGTCTCTTCTACATCAACATGTGTCCCCTCTTCTTCATGTCTCTTCTACATCAACATGTGTCCCCTCTTCTCCATGTCTCTTCTACATCAACATGTGTCCCCTCTTCTTCATGTCTCTTCTACATCAACATGTGTCCCCTCTTCTTCATGTCTCTTCTACATCAACATGTGTCCCCTCTGTAGAAAGAGACTCTGAAAGTTTCAGGAACAAAGATTCTCTCTCTTTTTGATCCATTTCTATAAAAACCTGTTTGAAAATGAGCTGATCAGATTGTGGCCACTTTGTGATGTCATAACGTTGTTTTGGCTTGTGTAACCATTAGCCAATCACCAACCAAGGTAACCCCCCCCCCCCCACCACTATGATTCCAATATATTGATGTTCCCTCAGTGTGTGATGTATTAACTCCTTCATGCATGCATTACAACAAACTAAGGATATTTTCATTTTATGCATGAAAAAAAACAACATAACGACATTTTTTAAACATTTAATATCTGTAATATCTGTTTAACAAACCAATGAACAAAATGATATATTATGCAAAACTATAAAATAAAATACACCAATTGAAATTTGACATGTTTATATGAGGACCCCCTTGGTGGTTCTAGGAATATTTTATATAAAATTGTGTTTTCTATTTAACTTATTGTACTAAGATTATTTTTGTAATCATGCATGGTATTTCTTTAATTAACTTTTTTTAGTTTTTCTTTTTAATCTCACGTACCCCTGCAGTACCCCAACGTACCCCTAGGGGTCCGCATACCCCCATTTGAGAATCACTGTCCTCGAGCACCTTTGAGTTCTTTGTAACCAAATCTCTCTCAGAGGGGCGTGGGGAGGGGCTCCTTATTTTCATCTAAAGTAACAGACAGAGAATCAGCACTTTGGAAACAGGGCTGAAACAGAGGGGATTCTGGGTAATGCTGCAATGACCTGTTTGGTATTTCAGCCAATCAGAGACAGGCTCTGGATATATCTGAGAACTATGATATATTGATGAACAACAGTATAATAGGAGTGAACATTATTAAGCAGAGCTCAAACACCCAGAATAAAGAAAGCCAGTTTGCGCAGACAGCTGTCTTTTATTTTGTTCGGATAAAAAGGAAAATCCTATCCATTTCAAATACAACTTTAGCATTGCTAATACAACAAACAGGGTAAAGAAGCAAACCTCACACATGTTCTTAATGTGATTTAACTAGAACGTGATTTTATCCTAACTTTTCAAATAGTGCAGTGCATACCGAGGCATCAGGTATGCACTGACGCATGTTCAGTCTCCCTTATTTCCCAGGAGATGTGATGAGGTAGAGTGAGACCTGCCTCCACACCGAGACTTTCGCAGAGTGAGTCAATATTTGCCTCGGTGTCCAACATGCCCCCCACAGCCCACCCCAGGGGGCTGCAAAGCGCGCCTCCAAAGCCTCTTTATTACCAATTCCTGATTGGAGCGGCTCGGCACTGTTGTTGGCTTAGAGATCCCCGCTAGGGAACCATTAAAATGCAGCCACTCTGTCGTGCGGCTGAAGGCTGAGCCGCTGAGGAATGCCAGTGTGAGAAAAAACAACAACAACAAGAAGAAACACTGAAAGCACCTTGCTAACAGGAACCGACACAAACACTCGCAAAGAAAACAGGAAGCGTTGCATTCCAAGAACAACAAATACGGCACCCATATTCACTCTGACTACTTTGACTGTATACTCCCAAATGCATATTATCTTAACTAGGCTAGTAAAAAAGGTTATATTTATCTTATTCTGGACTCAAACCCTTCATATGATCAGATATAATGATCCTGGAAGACAGTTCCTAAATGATTTCTGGTTCATTTGTATGAGAGAAGTTATGTGCAAATGCCAGTGTGGACCCACCATGACCGGGGGGGGGGGCAAAAACAACAACAACAAGAACCACCTAAAGCACCTTGCTAACAGGAGCCGAAAACAGGAAGCGCTGCATTTCCAAAACAACAAATACTGCATCCATATTGACTCTGGCTACTTGTACTGTATACTCGCAAATGCATATTATCGTAACTAGGCTATTAAACATATTTATCTTATTCTGGACTCAAACCCTTCATAGGATCAGATTTGATGATCCTGGAAGACAGCTCCTAAATGATTTCTGGTTCATTTGGATGAGAGAAGTTATGTGCAAATGTCCTCATAGTTGTACAATATAAACACATTTATAAAACATATTTAGTGCGTATTCTCCTAAATCAACTAAAGGCCTGAGCTTTGAACATTTCCTACACACCGAAAGGTCCTACATAAAAAGACAACCAAGATTACAACTTATCCTCATATTTCAACATGTATAAGGCCTCTTGAAACTGATGTCCGGATGTTCCGAATGTATCTCGGCAAAATAAAAGTCAGATTTGTTTTGTTACGGTAGACATTATGCTATATCTGCAGCTTTGCATGATAGCGACTTTGACACTTTGACAGAGAAGTCATCAGATTCATCATTAACTTGGTTTACCCGGAGTGAAAGAGGCCCCGTTATGCTTCCAGGTGTCCTTTCCTTTAGTGTGGTGTATAGGTTTCAGTGACATCACTCTATAACACTCGTGCTCCTGTTGGCTAGCGCTCCAACACATTTTCCGTGATAGACTAAGGGGCGGGACATCTCATAACGGTTGACCAATCAAAACAGAGCCGGCCAGCTAACCAATCGGAGCAGACTGGGCTCTGGTTTCAGACAGAGGCTGAAAAGAGGCGCTGCTTTTCAACAATAAAAGCAAATTGTCACAACTGACAGATAATGAAACCTAAACATTAGCATAATAGGGCACCTTTTAAAACAACAACAACAGCAGCTTTGTGAACCTGAGGAACGAGAGAAAATCTAGTAATCAGAATAAACGTCCTTCGAAATTCTTGCCAAGTAAGCTAGAAATCTATCATTTAAACACAAATGACAACGGTTGTGTTTGTATTGGCACGTTTCTGCTGTAAAACTCTCCTCTACGGGTGGCCCACCACCACCTCTAAGAGCAACGTCCCCCGGGAGCATATTTCGTTACCACCTATTAGTAACTGCATTTCCTCACAGCTAAGCTCTTACTACAAGGCTGGGAGAAAGCGTCCCTTTTACACTACATTAATCACCTTGGAGATGATTATCCAGAGCAAAGCATACAAAGGAGCCCCCCCCCCTGCCCTCTGACAGCGTTACAACTCATTGATCCCCCTCCCAATCCTCTACAAATATCACATGAGATGATAAATCTACTCTAGTATGTATGCAGGGCTTCGACGTGGCTTTTTGCCCGAGTCTGGGAACACACTCATGCCGGTGGAGAAACAGGAAAAGTCCCAGACGTTTAGAATATAATTCAAAACTAGGATCTTTTTTTCACCTGAAATGATAAAACTAGTATCATCAGCATTATATAGGAAGCCCTGGATTCTTAACTCAGCATGCCATAGACTGAAAACATGTCACAAAGTAAATATACATCAGGTGTTTTAAGCCTTAAGGCTACAGGAGACATAACATGCTAACATACATGTGCGTACATACAGTAAATGGCCTTATTCCATTCAGATTGCCTCACTCGCTCTTAATCTGAGAAAACATTTTTGACATAAAGGCTGGAGGGCATAACAGGAAGTAGAAATAAATTACTCTAACAGTTGGTGGTTAATTGAAGATGCATTATCCACGGGTAAAAGTGATCAGTATATAAATGGTGGCTGTTAAAAAATAGTTCTAGTAAACATCAATGTTATTGTGCAAAGTCATTATTTCACACTGGTCACTATTACTAATGGATACTGATTGTAATTTCTGCATTAAGGTTATTATTGCATAATATCTGGAAGGCAGTAGGATACAATGGAGAAAAATAAAACGTCTATGAGATGCTCCGTTATCTACATTTGACACTTGAGGAGGAACAGACCGCTCCGCTGCTTCAGCTCTTGAAACGCGTCTGCTCACAAATGTGGTTGAATTTCCTGGAATTGAAATAAAGAGAAAAGACAAACGCATCATTTAGTGCTGTGTTTTTAAAGACAACGATATCAAATGACAAAAAAGCATCTTATTTAGGTTTAAAACAGCAGACATGAGAAATATAGGACCACGTTTATACAATAACTCCCTCTAGTGGTTAGATGAGTGAACTACATTGGGTGGCTGTCCCCCAGATTTTAGCCTGAACGTTGCAAATGTATGACCTAAAAACCTACAAAAAAAATGTTTTTAAATCAATGATTTCCATCCTATCCAGCTGGTTTGAAGAACAGGTGTGGCTTTTCATAATAAATATCCAAAGGTCTCGTAAAAATATCATAAATAAGCATGTTAAAGGTAGGGTAGGTAAGAATGGAGAAACCAGCTCGAGTAGCGCTAGAATTTGAAAGTACCCAGCCGAAAAAAATCTGCCCCTTCCTTCAGACTTCCTTACAGAGCCCCTCCTCCAACACACACGAACGCGCACATGACCAATGAGGGCACGAGATAAGTGTGTGCACAGATGGAAGGCTGACAGGCAGGTAGGCCATCCAGTTACTTTAGCCGGGCCGGTTAAGCCCACAGTGTATGATGGGTTTGAACTGCTTACTGGTCAACATTTTTTTTTTTTAACAACAAGTTATGGCTTCTGATCACACATAGAGTGGAGAGTCATGATAAAGAAAGTTCATTCAAAAGCAATATGCTGCAAAAATGGCATTCAAGGAAACGTCAAAGTTGCAGAGAGGACTGGTAATAATCAAGCCTCCAGGAAGTGCGCCGGACTCGGTTGAAATTATTCGTAGTGTCCAAACGGCGGTATTACAACTTCCGTATCAGTCCGTGACGTCACTGGGCCCAGAAAGACTTTCCCCCATTGACTAACATCGGGAAAGAGACGTCTGTAAATCAGCGGATCATTTTTTTTAACTAAATAAACTACCCAGTATGAACTATTGTATAGCCCTTATTAGAATTATTAGGTCCTTAAAGTTGTAAAATGCACTAAAAGCCGAATCTAGATTTATTTTCTGTCTCCATTCATTCTAGTGAGCCGGGGGGCGGGGCTTAAGGGGCACATGCTCTGTGAGCGCACATACGGGTTCTTCTCATGGATGTATAATAAGAACTGGATACAGCGTGGGAGGCGGGGCCTCGTTCATTCCTATGACAGTTGCTCATTGGCGCATGAAGACAAAATGGCCCAACTTTTGAGAGAGCGAAACGTCACGAAAGTATTCATATAATCATATAATCCGTTCTTATTGTGCATCCATGGGTAAAGGTGAAACTCATGTAGTACTGAACACGTCACATGAACGTGCCGGGCGGTGCGGTCCCGTGGGTTAGACCCGCGTTCATAATGCCGAGGAAAATAACTCTCAGAATAACGTTATTAGTACATTTTACAACTTGAGGACCGAATGTTTTTAATAAGGGCTATACAAGTGTTCATACTGGGTTGTTTATTTAGTTTAAAACGATTTACAGACGTCTCTTTCCCGATGTTAGTCAATGGGACAAAGTGTTTCCGGGCCCAGCGACTGATACGGAAGTGTAGTATCGCCGTTTGGCCACAACAAATATGTTCCTCAGAGTCCAGCGCACTTCCTGTGGGCTTGGATCTTCTGCTCTGACAGCCAGGCATGATGGGTAATCTGTGACGTTTCGCTCTCAAAAGTTGGGCCATTTTGCCTTCCTGCGCCAATGAGCAGCTCTCATAGGAAAGAACGAGACCCCGCCTCCCACGCTGTATCCAGTTCTTATTATACATCCATGGTAATAATAAAGGAAACTACAGTTCCCACATTAACCACTAGAGGGCAGATCTGAGACTTAATGAGTTTATATGGTGCTTTCTATTATTATTATGAGAACACTTACGTTGCATGGTGCGCCTTCACCTGCGTGCGACAGTTGCGTCCCCAGTAACAGTCGGGACGAGATGTAACAGCAGCTGCAGAAGAACATCAAATACAGTTATTTCCTGGGTATTTATTACAAATCCATAAGGGTAATATTCTAGGATTTTCATTGCCATTTCTACACTGTAGCTTATGTGCATATGACATTAAAACCTTTTAAAGGTCTCCTATCACTCGGTCTGCCTATTTCCATCTACGCAACATCAACCGCCTCCGCCCGTCCCTTAACCCTAAGACCACCGCCATTCTTGTTCACACCCTGGTCACTTCCCGCATCGACTACTGCAACTCCCTTCTCTTTGGTCGCCCTCTCAAATCCATCCACAGACTTCAACTGGTTCAGAACTCTGCCGCCCGCATCATCACCAGAACCCCCTCCATTAACCACATCACTCCTGTTCTTCAGCAACTTCACTGGCTCCCCGTCAAATCCTGTATCGTTTTTAAGATTCTGCTCCTCGCCTTTAAGGCCATCCATACCCTCACTCCTCTGTACCTCTCCGACCTCCTGCACATCAACACACCCATCCGCACACTCAGATCTTCTGCTTCCCTCAGCCTCACTGCACCCCCCTTCCGTTTAACCACCATGGGGTCTAGAGCCTTCAGCCGCTCTGCACCCCGCCTCTGGAACTCCCTCCCACCTGACATCCGCAACACTGACTCTCTCCCCGTTTTCAAATCACGCCTCAAAACATATCTCTTCACACTCGCATATCAACCCTGATCATTATCACACATCCTCTGTTTTTATTTATTTGGTTATTTGATTGATTGATATACTGCATTGTCTTGTTTATGTCTCTTATGCTGGTGTTATGTATTGTGTATCTTGCTTTTTATGTGTTTGTACGCCGACCTTGAGAGCCTTGAAAGTCGCCTATATAAAATAAATGAATTATTATGCTATTTTTAGGCATATATTCTGGGTCTCAGATATATACAAATATATAAAAGCATCTCTATGATGTGTTTTGTTCAAAATACCAAACAGATCATGCATTTTAGACATCCCTCATATCCCTCTATTTCAGCCCTGTTAGAGAAACGCTGATTTTGGGTCCGTAGACAAAATAAAAAAAAAAAAAGAGGGGGGGAGCTAATGCCTGCTCAGAATTCAACTGGCAGATACAGTTAAATGACGAGATTTACGTCATATCGGACGCAAATCTGAATCAGCCCCCGTTTTTAGAGATGTGGGTACGGAGGAAAAGAGAGAGGGTTTTGTTTTCTGACACTGTGGGAGTTCCCCGACACACCGGGGACACATTATTTATGTATACAAGACATCAAAAAGTGCATTTTGCATGATAGGTCCCTTTAATCTTGAAAAGGAAAAGGCTTATCATGAAAAGTTGTCTGAAAAGCTTAAAATGGCACAATATATAAAATGATGTTCTGACCTGGCAGCTCAGGAGCAGCGATGTTCTGTCTGAACTTGTAGGCCAGCTCCTTGAAGGACCGCAGGCCACAGCAGTAGCACAGGATGGCGTTTGGAGAGATGCGGCAGTCTGAAGAAGAGGATATTACATCTATTTCTCTCTTTATACGACAGTGTGGACTTGAAGGTGCGTTGGGTTTTGATCTGAAGCTCACCTGACAGGTAGTAGTTGCCCTGCTGTAAGGCGTGCAGAGACTCCTGGAGCACGTCTCTCCATGACTTCCCTTTGGAGGACAGGTAGTTCTGATGGAAGAAAACAAACAACGGCATTTTAATATCCAATCCAACTTTATTTATATAGCACATTTAAAAAGTGCTGTACATCAATACATATATAAAGAGCAGCATAAATACATTTAGACAAACAAAATGTAAAAGCACGAGACAATAAAACCATACTTGTAGCCAGCACAGACTGAAAAACTCTCATACACGATGTGAAAACACAACTAAAAATATCACATGCTCTCCAGAGGCCTGTACGACGAAGCGGGTTCAACCTAACCTGGATATGTTTGAGTTAGCCGGTTGGCCTAATCCAAAACATACGCGCTCTCGCTAAACGGTCCTACGACGCTGGTTATCAAGTGGATCGCTCAAGCCAGCCGTGTCCTATCTAGTTAGGTGCGCGTTCACATGAAAGGGGTGGTATCTGGAGCATTCGACCAATCACAAACATGGAGAAGCGTACTGACAGCGCAGCGTCATACTTCCTGAATGAAAAGTGAACTTTAATATTAGACATATGAAGAAGTTACACTTTAAACATCCATGACTTAAACACTTGATCCAGGATCAAAGCCACAGAGCTGCACCTGCAAGGTGAAGACAGCTGGGAACAGAACAAGTGTTTGAATGCGTACATGAACAGGTTTATGATATCACTGCCCCGTCTAAGACACGATCTGACTTTAATTACATTTGACTCGAGTGTTTCGTCAACTTAATGTGTTGCTTAAAATAATACTTCTGCATCCAGTCTGTGACACTGTGAGTGTTGCACGGCCAGATACGGCTCAGCTGACTCAGATGAGGAAATATAAGATTAATAATATAAAGCTTAATTAAATATCTTCCACAACATAAGTAACCGGATCAAAGTAACATTACGTACATTTCCCTGAAGTTAGCTCGCTAAGCGAAAATCTGGCTTTGTCGTACAGGCCTCTGGTGCAAGTGACATGCTGTTAGTGTTATAAACGTTACCGAAAAAACAAGCATTTTATAATCTATTTATTCATATTATAGTAGCAAAAGCTGTTTTAGATCATCATGACCTTAAGCCTATATATATTTTACATATTCACTCTTTATTTGATATGTATTTATGTTGATAGGTATATTTATTTATATATTTTGCAATGCCTTGTTTACATGCTGCTGTACCAAATCCATTTCCCAAATTCACATCAATTCAGTCAGCCGTTGCCCCGGTTAGAAATTGACCACCCAGATAATAAATAGCAAGCTGAACATCCTGACCTTGAAAACAAGTATTTCATTTTGATCACATGTAAAAAAAAGAAAAACCCAGGGATAGTTTTTGTTGGCCGATCTGACAGGCACAGATCCTCTTACCTGCAGGATCTCTGACTCGTAGTTGTTGTTGTTCAGCACACCGTCCAGGCATTTGTCGGTCAGATTGAGTTCTGGAAAAAGAAAATGGTGGATTTGAACATTCAGCAAACTACACGACATAAACCTGTATATCATTTAAATTGTATTCATCTTGTGTTAATCTGTACTGTCCTGATTTTCGCTCTCACTCTGTTGCTGCTTAAACTCTTACATTTCCCCATGGGGATTAATAAAGGTCCATCTTATCTTATCTTTAAGTAGCAGAACAATTATAAGAGGCTATAAAAGCTTTATTTGGTACAATCAGATGGCTTGA